AAATGTCACGCAATGGAGGAAACAGGTAGCAGCTGAGCCGTCCTAGTTCCTCTAATGTGGAACTCCCCTAGGCTTATCACCAACTCCCGGACAGGCCGGGATGCAGCGGACAGCGAATGTCTCCTACACAAGCTTTTGCTCATTCCTCTACAGGGTTCAATTTTTTTCCTGGTTATTCCATAGAAATATTTAATACTGAGCTATTAATTATTTGCTATCAATGTTGGGAGTAATTTACCCAAACCTAGTGCTTGCATTTTTTTTAAAGATTTATTTCTTTTTGGGCCCAGTGCAGTAGCCTAGTGGCTCAAAGTCCTCGCCTTGCATGTACTGGTATCCCACATGGGCGCCATTTCTAATCCCAGCGGATCCGCTTTCCATCCAGCTCTTTTCTTGTGGCCTGGGAAAGCAGTCGAGGACAGCTCAAAGCCTTGGGATCCTGCACCCGTGTGGGAGACCCAGAAAAAGCTCCTGGCTCCTGGCTTCGGATCAGCTCAGTTCTGGCCACTTGGGGAGTGAATCAGCAGACAGAGAATCCTTTTCTCTGCCGTTCCTTCTGTCTGCAAATCTGCCTTTCCAATAAAAATAAACTGAAAGGCTCGTGTAGTATGTAACAAGTCCTCCCCACTCTGTTTTTATTCTATTTTGAGTTAGTGCGGCCGAAGGGGACGTGGCCCGGATCGCTCACTCCTCAGATGCTGGGCTTGAGCAGGCCGAAGCCAAGACCTGGGAACTCAGCCCGTCTCCTGCGTGAAAGGCAAAGACCCCAAAACCTGAGCCTGCCGCCTCCTGGGGGGCTCATTCTCAGGACGCCAGAACTGGAAACAACATCGGAACTTGGACCCGGCGCTTGGATGTGGAACGGTGCTCACTTGCGCAGCACATGGGCTGAAACCGGACGTGGGATACAAGCGTTTTAAGCGCCAAGGCCGATGCCTCCCTTCCTCCCTCTTTCTTGCAGAGACCAAAAATCTATCAAATGTTCACTCTCTGAACGTGACCAATTACACGTTCGTTGCTCGCTGCGCTTCCCATGAGCTGGTGGTGGGACTGCAAGTCCCATCAGATCAGTTCAGGGTTCATTGATGAAAACATTGCACAAGCAAGCAATGTCCTCATTGCATTATAACAGGGGGCACACAATGTCTCCGGGGGTTTTAAATGGTCTTTCTGTTCACTTTACTTACAGGGCAGAGAAAGACAGAGATCTTCCACCCACTGATTCATTCCTCGAATGTCCGTCACAGCCGACACTGACCGAGCCAAAGCCAGCGGCCAGCAGCTCAGTCCCTGTCCCCAACCCAGGTGGCACGGACGCAAACACGCCACCACCTGCTGCCTCCCAGGGTGCGTGTTAGCAGGAAGCTGGAGCAGAAGCAGAGCCAGCCCCCACACCAGACACACAAATATGGAGTGCACGTGTCCCCGAGCATGTCAGCCGCCGGCCTCCTCCCTTCTAACATTTCCCTCACGCTTCTTTCTCCGGATCAGCCCCCAGACTAGTGCAGGCAGCAAGGCACACCCTGCGCTGACCTCGTCCTGGAGTAGCGTTTCTCATCTCTTCCCACCGTGGGTCACATCAGGCGTGGGCGCTGAGATGCACCCTTGGGAGCTGAGGTCTGAGTCGGCCCTCGGGCCAAGGCCCTGCTCACCTGCTGCTGCTGGCCCTTCCTTCCAGGTGCACCTGCCCGCTCTCCTTCGTTCCTTAAGCAGCCGCTGCAATGGGTCTGAGAGATGTCCTTGAAAATCCATGCATTGGGCCCGGCGTCATGGCCTAGTGGCTAAAGTCCTCACGTTGCATGCTGCCAGGATCCTATGTGGGAGCCAGTTCTAATCCCAGCAGCCCTGCTTCCCATCCAGCTCCCTGCTTGTGGCCTGGGAAAGCAGTCAAGGATAAATCAAGACCTTGTGATGCTGAGCCTGTGGGGGAGATCCGGAAGAAGCTCCTGGCTCCTGGCTTCAGATGGGCTCAGCCCCAGCCATTGTGACCACTTGAGGAGTGAACCATCGGACAGAAAGTCTTCCTCTCTGTCTTTCCTCCTCTCTGTATATCTGTCTTTCCAATAAAAACAAATAACGCTTTAAAAATTCAAAAAGTGGGCCCGGCATGGTGGCGCAGTGGTTAAGGTCCTCGCCTTGCACGCCCGGGATCCCATATGGCCACCAGTTCTATCCAGTTCTATTGAGCACAACGGCCAATACTATGCCGATCCGAAGCCAGGAGCCTCTTCCGGGTCTCCCACGCAGGTGCAGGGTCCCAAAGCTTTGGGCCATCCTCGACTGCTTTCCCGGGCCACAGGCAGGGAGCTGGATGAGAAATGGGGCAGCTGGGATTAGAACCGGGGCCCATATGGGATCCTGGCAAGGATTTTTAGCTGATAGGCTACCACATCAGGCTCTGGAAAGGCAGATTTACAGAGAGGAAAGACAAAGATTTTCCATCTGCTGGTTCATTCCCCAAATGGCTGTAACAGTCAAATCTGAGCCAATCCGAGGCCAGGAGTCAGGAGTTTCTTCCAGGTCCCCAGGCTTTGGGCTGTCCTCTACTGCCTCCCCAGACCACAAGTAAGAAGATAGATGGCATGTGGAGCAGCTGGGGCTAGAACTGGCACTCATAGGATACCAGCACTTGCAAGGGGAGAATTAACCACTGAGCCTACGTGGCCAAGCCCAATTTTATTTCTTGAAGAGGCAGAGAGACATTCGCTGACTTTACTCCCCAGATGCCTGCAACATCTGGAGCTGAGCCAGAAGCCAGGAAGTCCCCCAGCCCTCCCCTGTGGGTCACAGAGCCCCCGGCTGCTGCTTCCCAGGGTGCACATGAGCAGGGAGCTGGAGTCAGGAGCAGGGCTGGGGAATCTCCTAGCTAGAAAGTGACCCTGTCATCACTCACCACACCTGGTTACCATGTGGGCTACCATCTGCCCAGCATGCCCTCCTCGTGTTCTGTTTTTGGACTGGTGATGACCCAGCTCCAGCGTGAGTCTCCCGTGGACACCCGGACCCGCTTGTCTTGCCCTGCCCTGACAGGCCTTCCAGACCTTCTCCTGGGTTGGGCACTTGCCTTCTGGCACAGCTTCGTCTCAGCGGCGGTCTGAGGGCCCTGCCCTGCTGCCTCACATCTAGAGATCCCAACGGGAGTGGGAGACCTGGTTGGTTTTGGCTAAACTCCCTGAGAGATGGTCAAGAGGCTCGTTGTCTGGGGGTGGGGGGACATGGCGGGGTCCTTTATTAGTCCCCTTGACTGGCAAGGTAAGCACACAGATGTGCCATCCAACATGACCCAAAGGTCTCAGATCATCCCTACCCAACCAGGCGTGACAGTCCAACTCCCCCAGAGCCACTTTGTCCCACACTCACTGCTGTCCCGAGGAAGTGCTAACTGTGGCATTGACTGACCACTCCAAGGAGCCTTCCCTGGGTCCCCGGGTCTGCAGCCTGAGAAGGCAGCAGGTATGAAGCTTGTTCATCAGCGTAGAGACCCAGGGTGTCTTCAGCCTCCAGCTGTGACTGGCCCCAGCGGGAGTCTGCCACCAGTACCCCGCTAGAATGGGAAGGGGGCGCGTGCTGAATTCACAGGTGTCAACTTTGTCAAGGCAACGCCTGCAGGCCCTGACGGGCTGTGGTGGTCGTAGCTCTCAGGGGTCGACGCCCACCTGTGTGAGTGCAGTAGGGAAGTCTGTATCTTCTGATTCGGACTTCTTTTCTCTGGTTTTAAGGATTTCTTTGTTTGGGGCCCGGCGGAGTGGCCTAGCGGCTAAAAAGTCCTCGCCTTGAACACACCAACTCCCTCCCTGTGGCCTGAAAAGGCAGTCGAGGACGGCCCAAAGCTGTGGGACCCTGCACCCGTAAGGGAGACCTTGAGGAAGTTCCTGGCTCCTGGCTTCGGATCGGCATAGCACTGGCCCTTGCGCTCACTTGGGGAGTGAACCATCAGACGGAAGATCTTCCTCTCCATCTCTTGACCTCTCTGTATATCTGACTTTGTAATAAAAATAAATAAATCTTTTTTTTTAAAAAAAAAAAAAAGGATTTCTTTGTTTGAAAGGTAGAATTAGATCTCGGAAGAATTTTTCCATCTGATGGTCTGCTCCCCTGATGTTCGCAACAGCCGGTGTGGGCCAGGACAAAGCCAGGAGCCTGTAGCTCTGTCTGGGCCTCTCCCACACACGTGGCCAGGTCCCACGTGCTGGGCCCTCGCCCACTGCCTTCTCAGGCACCTTAGCAGGGAGCTGGATGGGAAGCAGAGCGGCCAGGACTCCGAGGGAAGTACAAAGTGTAGCCCGCTGCGAAGCCCAATTAATCTGTCCTGTCAAGCTTTCTCCGGCTGAGAGCTGCTTCAGGCTGTCCACCTGCTCTGTGTCAATTCTCTAGGCGTCTCTGCAGCCTGCTCTCAGCTCTTCCACACCCCTGCCCTTGGCTGTGGATCATGTCCACCCTGGCCACCCTTGGCCTGTCTCTTCCAGGGCACTGGTTTCTCTCTGATGCCCACTGTTGGTATATTCACTGCAGTGTCCACGGAGGCTGTTTGCACTCACCAGAGAGCTTCATGCAAAGACCCCAAAGCACTCAGCACCTCGGGGTGGTCACTGTGCCTGGGAGTCTGTTTTACACACCACACCCCTGCATGGGACAAAGCCAGCCACCTAACCCAGGTCACCAGGCCAAGAGCCCCATTTGATTCATTTTCATTTTTTCTCAGGATTTATTTTATTTGTCTGAAAGGCAGAGTTACACAAGGAGACAGAGATCTTCCATCGCTGGTTCAGTCCCTAAGTTGCCATCCACATGGCTGGGGCAGGACCATGCCACAGCCACAGCCACAGCCACAGCCACAGCCACGAGTCTCATGTGACGGGTGGGTCTCTGGGCCGAGCCGCCTCTGCCCCCTTAGATACCACCCTCCCCCCTTCCAATCTCGGATGGATGCCCCCAGAAGGCAGAGGGGCCCCTTCAGTAGGTCAAAGCCCCCCGGAATAAGTTAACGGGGGAGGGGGTGCCTAGCCAGGCCGGCCCAGCTCTGTCTCACAGACCCAGCGGTAGGGTCTCTGGCATACGTCGTCGTTCCAGCGGCCATCGTTGGTGAAGTGCGCGCAGTCCTCGCCCCCTCCGAGACCGTGCCCCGACCAGTCGTCTGGCTGGCCTGGCCGCCAGTTCCTGGAGGACGGGGAGCCAGTGTGGACGGGACCCCAGAGCCGCCACCCATCCTCTCCGCTTAGGGCTCACACTCACTTGTATCCCAACTCGTAGCTGGAGCCGTCCACCCACTTCCAGGACCCTTCTGGGTCGGACAGGCCCATCCAGGTGTTCAGGAAGCCAATGTGGTGCTCGATGAACTTCTGGGGGGGGCCGAGTTGGGATGAGGGGGGACAGGGAAGAGCGGTGACCTCTGCTGTCCACCTACCTGCCTCTCCCGGGGCGGAGGGGAGGAAGGGGCGCCCACCTGCTCGGCGCGGGAGGTGACCACGACCAGGTGCGCGTTCTCCAGCTGACAGTACCTGTCCGCCTCTGGCCACGGTTTCCCGGTGCGCGAGAACCAGTAGCAGCCGCCCTCGTACTCCACCCAGTTGACGGGGCAGCAGCTGTGCTGGGAGCCTGGGGAGGTTGCAGGGGCGATAGAGGCCGGGGTCGGGTGGGGTGGGAGTGGGGGTGAAGCCGCCAAGGGGCTTGGGAAGGGGGCAGCGGCACAGCCAGGTGGGCACCTGCAGCAGGTTGCTCACCATTGCCCTGCAGCGTGGCCATCTGACAGCTGAGGCTGCGCAGGTCGGACACAAACTGTTTCACGTGCAGTAGCAGACTGGAGTGATCTGGGGGGGAGGAGAATGGGGTCGGGGGGGCTGACCAACCACAGATGGCCTGGCCTCTCTCTCTCCCTGCCCCTCTGACCTTCGTGCAGGTCCTGCTGCAGCTTCTCCAGCTCGGACTCCAGCGACTTCATCTTTTTACCCACACTGTCTCCTGGGGGCAAAGGCTGGCTCAGGGTCCGCCTGCGGACCCCCCCCCCCCAGCGTCCCCACTCCCACCCCGTTCCCACCCCTCACCCTTGGTACTCAGGGCCGTGACCTCGGCCCCGGTGCTGGCTGTGAAGTTGCTGAAGGTCTCCCGCAGGGCCCGCAGCTCCTCCTGTAGCTGGGAGTCTGGGCAGGAGGAAGGGGCACCCACAGAACCACATGAGGGGACTGCGCCCCGCTCACGACCCCCTTCCCTGCCCTAACCCCGGGGTGGGGGGCACCCACTCTGGGATCCGATCACGCAGATCACCACCAGCAGCAGGAGGCTGAGACCCAGGGAGAGGAGGAGGAGGCGGGGTCCGGAGCAGAGACGCCGCAGCAGGGACTGGGGAGCAGGCGGCCCTGCAAGCACAGGGGACGCCAGGAGCTCAGGGTCTTGGGGGCCGGCCGAGCCTTACACAGTTCCGGGAGGAGGACAAGCTAAGCCTGCTGAGCGACTGGGGGCGACGTATAGATAAGGAAATCTGGGCGGTGGGCTAGCCAAAGGAACCGGGAGCAGCTGCTGGGGGTCGGCGGGACGTGGCGGGAGGGATAGGAGCGCTGGCAGCCGCTGGCGCCCGTGACCTTCTCGAACCCTGCGGGGACCCTGGGCGTCTGCTGCCACCTAGTGACTACGTGGCGTCACTGCGGCCGGTAGGTTTCGCCGCTGCCTGGAAACGGGGTTGTTATCGCCCCCTGCAGGTCAGCAAGGGAAGGCGGTTTCTTTAGCTCTCCGTGAATTCCACCTGTTCTGTGCTGCGCGCAGGGACAGAGTCGCTGCCACCAGGACTCCCTTAGCCCCTGTCTCCTGCGAGCAAGAGTGTGGAGGGCGTCCTCTCCCGTTTCCTTCCCCGCAGCTGCTTCCCAAGGCAAGCAAATCGCACACCACCATCCCTCCCCATACACGCCTTAGCTGGGTAAGAACCGCACAGTCACTGCCGGCAAGAGAAAGCAACGAGGGGATGGGGTCCCTGGGGTCCCCGGGGGTCCCTATTTTTGATGCAGGAGGTCTTCACCCCTACCAATATCAGGGACAGCCCTCAATCCCTCCACACGTCCCACACATGGGGTGCTGGTTGCCCACCCCCCGGCCCATCACACACACACACCTTTCCTGAGCTGGCGTGGGTCGCCCTCCTCATTGTCCAGATGCTGGAGGTCTTGATACTCCTTAGTCATGATAGGGCTGGCGCGCTGGACGAAGACTGCAGCCGGGGGGCTGAGTGGGGCTAGGGCAGGAGCTGGAATGGGGTTTGGGGGTAAGAGGTGGGGGTAGGGTTCCTTGTCAAATCCCAGCAGTGGCTCCTCTCTGCCACCCACTGCCAGGGCTGACTCCCCACCCCCAAACCCATCCTCTGATGCCCCTCACTACACACACACACACAGTCCCACCCCCTACCGTCAGCTGGCACCCCGACTTATCTTCCGGTTGGCTTGCTGAAGGTCTGGAGCTCTGACTGCTCAGTGGCGTGCAGATCCCAGGCTGGAGCCCGGGGTGAGAGGACAGCCCTGGACACCGGGAGCAAAGGGGGTGAACCCCGCGGTGTGTCTGTGTGTCTCGACACGCAGGGGCCCAGCATCCGCAGTGCCTGGGACTTTGGACGGTAAACAAAGGTGGTGATGGATTTGGGACTTGGTTGGGGGTGGGAGGCAGCGGGAGTTGGGGTGTGTGGTCTCTGCTGTCCCCCCACAGCAGGAGGGAGTCCTAACTGACCTGCACCCCTACCCCCCCATACATAAACTCTTCACCTTGCTCCTCCCTGCACCACTGGGAGAAGGATCCAGGCTCAGTGGGGCACCGGAGAGGGGGGAGGCGTTTCACACCCCTGTCCCTCCTCTGCTTTCCACTTCCTGCCTCTGGATTTCCCAGAATTGCTGGGATCGTGGAGAGCAGCTGTCTGCTCTTGCCCAATCCTGGCCAGTGACCCTGGCATTGGAGCCTCAGCCCTGGACTCCTGTGGATGAAAGGTAAAGTCCTCCAAATGACACAGTATCGGGGAGGCCAGAAGGAGCCAGGGGTGGGATCAGCACCAACCAGCCACAGCATGACTCCTGCTGGGTCCCCTTCCTCACGCCACCACCCACCAGGGGACTTTCCATACACTCCCTCCTCTCAGCCCCGGAGCAGATAACAAAGCTGAGGTTCTCAAAGGTAAGCGCTTGTTCAAGGTCACTCAGTGAAGCAGTGCCCCAAGAACTTGCCCTGAGTCAGCCTAACCCCCCAGCCCTGTGACTGTGCCTGGGCTCTGGGTTCAAGAGATGCAAAGCAGGGCCCGGCACGGTGGCCTAGCAGCTAAAGTCCTAGCCTTGCACACACTGGGATCCTATATGGACACTGGTTTTAATCCCAGCATCCCTGCTTCCCATCCAGCTCCCTGCTTGTGGCCTGAGAAAGCAGTGGAGGACGGCCCAAAGCCTTGAGTCCTGCACCCACGTGGGAGATCTAGAAGCTCCTGGCTCCTGGCTTCGGATCGGCTCAGCTCCAGCTATTGTGGTCACATGGGAAGTGATTCAGTGGATGGAAGATCTTCCTCTCTGTCTCTCCTCCTATCTGTATATCTGACTTTGCAATAAAAATAAATAAATCTTTTTTTGGGGAAAAAAAAAGGTGCAAAGCATGGTTCCTCTGCTGCAGTTCCAGTTATGCTGATTTGCGCACCAAGCCTTGCTGTCCAGATGCCCAGGGGACTGGCCTATGACTTTGTCACTGACAGCAGTTGCATCATCTCAGAATCCTGTCCTTTGGCTGCTGGCTTGGGTGACTCCAGGGGTGTTCTTTAACACGCTGCTTGTTCCCCACTAGGTGAGCTTGCGGGATGGCGGGCATGGAGCGAGAGTGGGAGCTGGAAGCCAAACTAAATTGCTCCATTATGTAAGCTGAAGCCGTGAGGCTGTGGCTTTTGGCCGCTTTACCAGCTGAATTTGGCCAGTGTATGCCGCCTCCAGGCTAAGCAGGCAGGTACCATCATTCCCTTGCAGGCACCATGTGACTAAAATGGGAAGTGACCAGAGCTGTTTGCCCCCCAACAACCTGGGTTATGAGTAATAACCTCAATGAGCACTATGGATGGTCCCTTGCTCAGGAGGATGGTGGCTGCAGGCACGGGAGGGCAGCAGCAGGGCGGTCACTCGTGTGACTCTCATAGGCAAGGCCAATTTCTGCTCCTGAAATAACCACTAAGCCATGTGGGCATGGCCACCTGGGAAAGCAGCTGAGGACGGCCCCAAACCTTGGGATCCTGCACCCACATGGGAGACCCTGGAAGAAGCTCCTGGCTTCTGGCTTCGGATTGGCTCAGCTCCAGCCATTGTGGCCACTTGGGGAATGAACCAGCAGACAGATCTTTCTCTCTGTATCTCCTTCTCTCTGTGTATCTGCCTTTCCAATCAAAATAAATAAATAACTCTTTAAAAAAAAAGTCACAGTCCCTGTTTCTCACCCACCATCTGCGTAGGTGATGGGGCTACACCCAAGTGTCAAAGCCCACTTGACATCTGGCCACAACACACATGGAATAGACAAGTGAATAGGTACTGGGGGTGGCTTGGGGCCTGGTGGCTAACACACTGCCAGGCAATCCTGCACCCCATACCCAAGTGCCCGGGTTCAAGTCCTATGCCTGCTCCCAATCCTGGTGTCCTGCTCCGGTGATGGCCTTTGGTCCCTGCCACCCACAACGGAAACCTAGACGGAGTTCTAGACTCCTAGCTTCAATCGGGCTCATCCCTGGCTGTCACAGGCATTTGGGGACCAGCAGATGGAAGCGCTCCCTCTCTGCCTCTCAGATAAATTTTAAAAATAGAGAAATTTAAATATACATGAGGCCACACTGTAACATAATAAACCAAGCCTACACCTTTGAAACCAGCCCATTCTGTGGGCCCGGTGCAAAGGCTCAGCAGCTAAGGGCAAGCACCAGGATCCCATAGGGGCACTGGTTCGTGTCCTAACTACTCCACTTCCTACCTAGCTCTCTGCCTATGGCCTAGGAAAGCAGCAGAGAATGGTCCAATGCCTTGGGACCCTGTGTGGGAGTGAATTAGCAGACAAAAGATCTTTGTCTCTTCATCTCCTTCTCTCCATAAATCTGATCTGCCTTCCCAATAAAAATAAGTCTAAACAAAACAAAAAAAAATCCCAGTATATCCTATATAGGTTCCAGTTCAAGTCCCAGCTGCTCCATTTTCTATTCAGCTCCCTACTAATGTGCCTGGGAAAGCAACAAGAGATGGCCCCTACCATCCATGTGCGAGACCCAGAAAAATGCCCAGTTCCTGGCTTCGGCGTGTCCCAAGCTCTGACTGTTGTGATCATTTGGGGAGTAAATTGGCAGATAGATCTCTGTCTCTCTTCTCGGTAATTCTGCCTTTCAAGTAAAAAAAAAAAATTATATAGATATAGATAGATAGCTTGGGAAAACATATGTTCAAAAATAATTCACTGGGGTGGGTGCTTGGTCTAGCTGTCACAACCCCCAGGTCCCATAGTGGAAAATGGGTTTTGCAGCCCCAGCTCTAGCTACAGTTCCAGCTTCTTGCCAATGTAGACCCTGGGAGGCAGCAGCAGGTGGGCAGTGGCTGAAATACTTGGATTCCAGACCCACATGGGAGAGGCCCAACTTGAGTTCTCGGTCTCCGACTTGGGCCTGGCCCAGCCTCAGCCACTGTGGATATTCAGGAAGTAAATTGGCAGATGGGACTTCTCTGCATTGTTCTTTTACTCTGTCTCTCAAGTAATTAAAACAGGAGGTAAAATCGTACAGATGGCACATGTGGGTTAGTCTTTTACACTAACTAGTCAGAAGTGTCTACAAAAACTGCCCCTCTAGACTTCAATGCAACAAGGTCGCCTGCTCATCCCACATGAGCACCAGTTCAAGTCCTGGCTCCTCCTCTTCTGATCCAGCTCCCTGCTAATGCACCTGGGAAAGCAGTGGAGAAGGCCCAGGTCCTTGAGCTCCTCCGTCCTCAAACAAATTCAGTGCATCAAGGGGCCTCTGGGATGATAATCTAGAGCTCAACTCTAACCATACTTCACCAACACTCCATGAGACCGTCCCCAGAGTCTAAGAGTTTGACTTATGACTTTCCCACTTTCCCATAGTGCAGAAGCCACTTGCATCCAGTAAAAATCGCCCTGTGAATTTTGACCTGGGATCTTTCCCAGCCTGTGCCAGATGATGGTCTCTCACACAGTGTCAGGCGGTGGCAGGAAGTCCCAGCTCCCAGCCACACTGTCACACAGACCTGGCGCTGGGTGATCCTGCCCAGGTGTAAGCTGGCAAAAGTGCCCTGATCACACGAGAGGGAGGCCAGGCTGGGCAATGTTGTCAGTCTCTCTGAACTCGTCTGCACTCAACAGACGTTCAAGGGACACTGGGTTTCCCAGAACAGGAACCCTGTGAGCTGCGGAGTGTTGTCTCTCATTTCCCATGGAGATTGCCGCACTGTCCAGGTGGTGGGCACAGCTAGGTGAAGCTGGCAGGGCCCCTGGCACATTGGGTCTCCTCTTCCAGCTAGACAGAGCTCCCCTCTACCCCTGCCTGCCCTTCCTGGACCCACTCCTAATCAACCTGGGTTCTTCCACTGGCCAGCTCCCTCCCAGTCCACCTCCCAACCCCATATGCTCTCTGGGTTGGAGGTAATATCCCCTTCCCCCTCCCCACTCCTGCATCCCCTCTCCCCCACCCATGCCCAGGTCCCAAATAACCAGGCCACACAAGAAGGTTCAAGTATCTGTCTCTTCCTTTCACTCTCTCAAAAGAAAAAAATAAATAAATTGCAGAAGGCGGCAGCATTTCCAGTCTTCCCCTGGTTCCCAGACACCCGACCCGACCCCTGCCCCCCCACCCTCCCTCCCATATTCCCCACTCCCTAGACCCATCCCCCCCTTTCCCCCCAAAAGGAAAAAAACAAACAAAACAAAACAAAACAAAAAAAAAAAACAAAAAAAAAGCTCCCAGGGAAAAAAAGAAAAAAACACAGTTAGACCTTCCACTCATGCAAACCGGCAAGAAAAACAGGTGGGAGTGTGTGGAAGGCAGGGGGCCCAGCGGGGAGACCCCTACATACGCCCCCAAAAAACCACCTTTGAGAAGGAAAAAAAAGTGGGAAAAAAATAAATGAGAACTGAAGGGCCATGGGGAGTCATGATGGGGGGCAGGGGTGACCCCAGGCCC